CAGCCGGATTAGAGCGGTTTTACGTGTACATCTTCCCTCGGTAATATAAACGGAAAATCAGGAACATTTTAGTTAATTCTAATGAAAACACATTGATTTTTATCATTTGTATTGGAAACAACATTGTCATATGTCTTTTCTTGGATCTAAATAATACGAAACCTCGCTCTATGATTTGAAGGTAAAATCTTCAAATATGGTAAAATAGTGACTTTTTCACGTTAATCATGTAGTTTGATATTACGTAAATATATTCATTTTAACCAATATTTCGATTCTATTTCATGTAGAATCACGATATGTGATTTGGCCGTCAAATATCAGAATTTCGCAAAATATTGCATTTTAAGCAAGTTTTCTTGCATTTTGTTTCGTACGAAAAATCATCGAATTTAGCAATATTTTGACGTTTATCATCCCCTTTTCCTTTATGTGACTTAAACAAAATATCATCGAATTAGGCAATATTTTGCCGTTTTCCACGTTTTTGTGAATTTACAGTCTATGCGTATTAATTCATATATATACGATAAAAATGATGCAAACACATAATTGATTAGATAATAACCTTAAATACTTCATTTTCAATCATCTATTTGTTTCTCGTTAAAATACTGAGTAAGATATGGAAAAGGGGAGAAGTTCTGTTTTTATTGCATATATCGACGTTTCAGCCGGAATAGAGCGATTTTCGTGTACATCTTCCATCGGTAATATAAACGGAAAATCAGTAACATTTTAGTTAATACTAATGAAAACACATTGATTTTTATCATTTGTATTGGAAACAACATTGTCATATGTCTTTTCTTGGATATAAATAATACGAAACCTCGCTCTGTGATTTGAAGTTAAAATCCTCAAATATGGTTATATATTGACTTTTTTCACGTTTTTCATGTAGTTTGATATTACGTAAATATATTCATTTTTACCAATATTTCGATACTATTTCATGTAGTATCACGATATGTGATTTGGCCGTCAAATATCAGAATTTCGCAAAATATTGCATTTTAAGCAAGTTTTCTTGCATTTTGTTTCGTACGAAAAATCATCGAATTTAGCAATATTTTGCCGTTCATCATCACCTTTTCCTTTATGTGACTTAAACAAAATATCATCGAATTAGGCAATATTTTGCCGTTTTCCACGTTTTTGTGAATTTACAGTCTATGGGTATTAATTCATATATATACGATAAAAATGATGCAAACACATAATTGATTAGATAATAACCTTAAATACTTCATTTTCAATCATCTATTTGTTTCTCGTTAAAATACTGAGTAAGATATTGAAAAGGGGAGAAGTTCTGTTTTTATTGCATATATCGACCTTTCAGCCGGAATAGAGCGATTTTCGTGTACATCTTCCATCGGTAATATAAACGGAAAATCAGTAACATTTTAGTTAATACTAATGAAAACACATTGATTTTTATCATTTGTATTGGAAACAACATTGTCATATGTCTTTTCTTGGATCTAAATAATACGAAACCTCGCTCTCTGATTTGAAGTTAAAATCCTCAAATATGGGTAAATATTGACTTTTTTCACGTTTTTCATGTAGTTTGATATTACGTAAATATATTCATATTTTGCCGTTTTCCACGTTTTTGTGAATTTACAGTCTATGGGTATTAATTCATATATATAAGATAAAAATGATGCAAACACATAATTGATTAGATAATAACCTTAAATACTTCATTTTCAATCATCTATTTGTTTCTCGTTAAAATACTGAGTAAGATATTGAAAAGGGGAGAAGTTCTGTTTTTATTGCATATATCGACCTTTCAGCCGGAATAGAGCGATTTTCGTGTACATCTTCCATCGGTAATATAAACGGAAAATCAGTAACATTTTAGTTAATACTAATGAAAACACATTGATTTTTATCATTTGTATTGGAAACAACATTGTCATATGTCTTTTCTTGGATCTAAATAATACGAAACCTCGCTCTCTGATTTGAAGTTAAAATCCTCAAATATGGTTAAATATTGACTTTTTTCACGTTTTTCATGTAGTTTGATATTACGTAAATATATTCATTTTTACCAATATTTCGATACTATTTCATGTAGTATCACGATATGTGATTTGGCCTTCAAATCTCAGAATTTCGCATAATATTGCATTTTAAGCAAGTTTTCTTGCATTTTGTTTCGTACGAAAAATCATCGAATTTAGCAATATTTTGACGTTTATCATCCCCTTTTCCTTTATGTGATTTAAACAAAATATCATCGAATTAGGCAATATTTTGCCGTTTTTCCACGTTTTTGTGAATTTTCAGTCTATGGGTATTAATTCATATATATACGATAAAAATTATGCAAACACATAATTGATTAGATAATAACCTTAAATACTTCATTTTCAATCATCTATTTGTTTCTCGTTAAAATACTGAGTAAGATATTGAAAAGGGGAGAAGTTCGGTTTTTATTGCATATATCGACGTATAACCCACCAATAACCACTACCTCCAACAGTCATCAACAACAACGACCACTACCAACAACGACCACTACCACCACCAACAACCACTGTCATCAACAAAAACGACCACTACCACCAACGACCACTACCAACAACGACCACTACCACCACCAACAACCACTGTCATCAACAACAACGACCACTACCAACAACGACCACTACCACCAACGACCACTACCACCAACAACCACTACCACCAACAACTACTACCACCAACAATCATCAACAACAACGAACACTACCAACAACGACCACTACCACCAACGACCACTACCACCAACAACAACCACTACCACCAACGACCACTACCACCACCAACGACCACTACCACCAACGACCACTACCACCAACGACCACAACCACCAACGACCACTACCACCAACGACCACTACCACCAACGACCACTACCACCAACGACCACTACCACCAACGACCACTACCACCAAGGACCACTACCACCAACGACCACTACCACCAACGACCACTACCACCACCAACGACCACTACCACCACCAACGACCACTACCACCAACGACCACTACCACAACGACCACTACCACAAACGACCACACCACCACTAACGACCACTACCACCACTAACGACCACTACCACCACTAACGACCACTACCACCAACGACCATTACCACCAACAACCACTACTACCACCAACGACCACTACCACCACCAACGACCACTACCACCACCAACGACCACTACCACCACCAACGACCACTACCACCAACGACCACTAGCACCAACGACCACTACCACCAACGACTACTACCACCACCAACGACCACTACCACCACCAACGACCACTACCACCACCAACGACCACTACCACCACCAACGACCACTACCACCAACGACCACTACCACCAACGACCACTACCACCACCAACGACCACTACCACCACCAACGACCACTACCACCAACGACCACTACCACCACCAACAACCACTATCACCAACGACCACTACCACCAACAACCACTACCACCAACGACCACTACCATCAACGACCACTACCACCACCAACAACCACTAACACCAACGACCACTACCACCACCAACAACCACTACCACCAACGACCACTACCACGACCAACAACCACTACCACCACTAACAACCACTACCACCACCAACGACCACTACCACCACCAACGACCACTACCACCAACAACCACTACCACCACCAACAACCACTACCACCAACGACCACTACCACCAACAACCACTACCTTCACCAACAACCACTACCACCACCAACAACCACTACCACCACCAACAACCACTACCACCAACGACCACTACCACCACCAACAACCACTACCACCACCAACAACCACTACCACCACCAACGACCACTACCACCACCAACAACCACTACCACCACCAACGACCACTACCACCACCAACAAGCACTACCACCACCAACAACCACTACCACCACCAACGACCACTACCACCAACGACCACTACCACCAACAACCACTACCTCCAACAACCACTACCACCAACAACCACTACCACCAACCACCATTACCACCATAAAAAATAAATTAATTAATAATAATAAATAACTAAATAAATAAATAAAATTAAAATAAAATAAAAATTAAATAAAATTAAAACTCAATAAAAATTAAATCAATAAAAAATTAATAAATAATAACTAAATAAATAAATAAATAACCTAACTACTAGCCTGAGGTGGTGGTGAACCCGCAGACCCGCAGACCCACGATCACAGGGAGGGGACTTGTCAGGGAAAAGCGCCAAGCCGTCAGTCACACATTGCACTTATATTGTCCCTATTATAGTACTTGGAGGGGATCAGGATCAGGATTAGGGATGGAGGCCTGGTCGACGACCGGGCCGCGGGGACGCTAAGCCCCGGAAACACCTCAAGGTAACCTCAAGGGACGGGGGGAAGGAATGGTGCTCCCCAGCGCTCCAGGACGCTCGGGGATTGAGCTCTGGCCTGCATAAAGCAAGACCGTCACCCTTCACGATGGGTCGGTTTTTATTCCTTTTTACATTTTGTTTTGTATTGTTTTAATTTTTTCTGACGTTCCGCAACGAGTTTTTCAATATCATTAATTGCTGTCAATACATTTTACTCAAGTCCAATAACTTCGATTGGGCCTTGTTCCCCTCGTCCAGGAACGGTGATTTTTACGTGGTGTTTTTCGGTGAGTTTGTTTATTGTATCACCCTTGGGGCCAAGGATCACTTTCCTGTGTTCCTCTCCGACTTCTATGGTCTTTTAAATGGTCTTTTTCTGATGTTACGCCACGAGTTCTTCAATATCATTAATTGCTGACAGTACATTTTCCTCAAGTCTAATAACTTCAATTGGGCCTTATTCCCCTCGTGCAGGAACGTTGATGTGGACTTGGTGTTTTTCGGTGAGTTTGTTTATTGTATCACCCTTGGGCCCAAGGATCACTTTCCTGTATTTTTCTCCGACTTCTATGGTCTTTTAAATGCCCTTCGCTGCCAGTTCCTCTCTGGCTTTAGCTGCCTCCTCCCGTTTGGCCTTTCTCTCCTCCCGTTTGGCCTTTTCCTCCTCCCGTTTGGCCTTTCTCTCCTCCCGTTTGGCCTTTTCCTCCTCCCGTTTGGCCTTTTCCTCCTCCCGTTTGGCCTTTTCCTCCTCCCGTTTGGCCTTTTCCTCCTCCCGTTGGGCCAACAGCTTTTTATGGTCCTCAATAATTAAATTAATTTTACTAATGGCCTTTTCAACATTTGTCTTATATCCTTCAACAATTGTGTCTCTGAGGCACTATTCTTTTGTCGGTATTATTATCTTGACCTAAAATGTCTTTTATATATCCGAACGGGTTTTACCTTTCGGGCCTATTATAACCGACCGGAAGTCGGGCGGGATAAATAATAACCGAGAAATTTTTCTATCATCTTCACTTCGTCCATGGGCCGAGTTTGTCTTGACGGGGTTACCGTTTTCGGTTTTGTGTTCTCCTCCGGGAGTGTTACCGGAGCTTATGGGCTCTGATCCTTCTTCCGTTGGTGTTGTCGATCCCGTTTTGGGTTTTAGGGCATCACCGGTATTACGGCGTTTGTTTTCTACTGTCACCTAACCATTGCCAGGTGAATTATTGGCCTTAACAGCCACAGAATTTTTATCTTGTTTGGCGTTTCTTGACGGTTGGAGGGGGTTGATGTCCTTTGACGGTTGGAGGGGGTTGGCGGCTTGCACGCCGCGGACATTGAGGTTTTCGGTTGGCCTAATCTGTTTTGTGGCAGGAATCTCACTTCCTCCACGATCAATCAAGTCATTTTTATTTTATGGTGTCCCATTTTTCTCATCTGCCATTGGAGTGCGAGAAATTCTAGCCCGACTTGCTGCTATTTTTGGAGTCTTCAAGAGGCAACTGTTTCTCTCACGAGCCTTTTTGTTGTAGTATTAAAGAAGTGTTACCATAGATATCAAAATCATTATGATATGAACCCCGAGGCTTACAAAGCCTGTTTTTTGTGGGTCAGGTCTCACACCCATAATTACCAAATGGGCTTTTAGCTGGTCAATGTATTGCCTCATATTCATTGTAGTTGTGTCTCTACGAAGGCTAAATTACGCCAAGAAGCTGTTGGCTTCATCCACCCAGCCTGGAGCAAATGGCAGCGGCGTTTCATGCCTTGAAACGCCTCGAATCCGCTCCATTAAAAGATACGTCAGTGGGGAGGCTTCTGCCCGTGTTTGTTCGTGTCTCAAAGTTTACTATTTTAACACCCTCCCATAATTGATGTTGTCTTATCGTATGGCGAAGAAGCTAATGATTCCGAAGACAATAATGCACAAAACAGTTTTGAGTAGTTGAGGCATCTTTAGATGAGGCATCTTCAGATGGCTAGAATATTGAAAACAGTCTCCGACCGTGTACTTGTAACATTAGAAGACAGGATGAGGGATATATAGTAAGCTTAGAAGAAATCTACTAAGGTAGAATATTCCTAGGATTTGTACGTGATGTGGATACATCCTGTGATAAGATACAGTAACTAGAGAGCCCGGGGTAGTAGAGAGCGCGCGTAGATGGCTTAGGAAGCATACTGTAGAGCTGGGGTATCCAGAGGGTACAAAAGTAGCAGGGGTTGTAGGTACCACAGGATGTAGGGAGTCTTTGTGATCATTGGGAACACAAGGTGTTAAGATCCTGGACCACCACTAGTAACGTTACTATGATTGTGTGTGGTGATTTAGGTGTGGCTGTGTGTGTGGGGGGGGGGGAGTGTTTGCGTGGGTGTGGCTGTGTGTGTGGGGGGGGGAAGGGAGTGTTTGTGTGTGTGTGTGTGTGTGTGTGTGTGTGTGTGTGTGTGTGTGTGTTTTACTGCAATGACAACAATCTAATGTTGCTAGTATTGACTGTGGTGTTTTATAAGGGTGGTAGTATTGACTGGTGTCATCAGTGGTGCTTTCGTTGGTTAGTATTAACAGTGAGCCTAGTATTGATCGTGGTGTTAACAGTAGTGATTGACAGCCCTAGATTGTGTGCTTCGTTTCCTTTATGTTGCATTTCTGTGATGAGTTTCATATTATCGCTGTGCTTAATGGATAACAATGTCTGGTAGTGGTAGTGGAGAGTGGTTGCTGGTGGTGGTAGTGGTTGTTTGTGGTGGTAGTGGTCGTTGGTGGTAGTGGTTGTTGTTGGTGGTAGTGGTTGTAGGTGGTAGTGGTCGTTGGTGGTAGTGGTCGTTGGTGGTTGTGGTTGTTGGTGGTGGTAGTGGTCGTTGCTGGTAGTGGTTGTTGTTGGTGGTAGTGGTCGTTGGTGGTAGTGGTCGTTGGTGGTTGTGGTCGTTGGTGGTAGTGGTTGTTGGTGGTGGTAGTGGTCGTTGCTGGTAGTGGTTGTTGGTAGTGGTAGTGGTTGTTGGTGGTAGTGGGCGTTGGTGGTAGTGGTTGTTGGAGGTAGTGGTTGTTGGTGGTGGTAGTGGTCGTTGCTTGTAGTGGTTGTTGGTGGTGGTAGTGATCGTTGGTGGTGGTAGTGATCGTTGGTGGTGGAAGTGGTCGTTGGTGGTAGTGGTCGTTGGTGGTCGTCGTCGTTGGTGGTAGTGGTCGTTGGTGGTAGTGGTCGTTGGTGGTAGTTGTTGTTTGTGGTGGTAGTGGTCGTTGGTGGTAGTGGTTGTTGGTGGTAGTGGTTGTTGGTGGTAGTGGTCGTTGGTGGTAGTGGTCGTTGGTGGTATAGGTCGTTGGTGGTAGTGGTCGTTGGTTGTAGTGATCGTTGGTGGTAGTGGTTGTTGGTGGTAGTGGTCGTTGGTGATAGTCGTTGTTGTTGTTGATGATTGTTGGTGGTAGTAGTTGTTGGTGGTAGTAGTTGTTGGTGGTGGTAGTGATCGTTGGTGGTAGTAGTTGTTGGTGGTAGTGGTTGTTGGTGGTGGTAGTGATCGTTGGTGGTAGTGGTCGTTGGTGGTAGTGGTTGTTGGTGGTAGTGGTTGTTGGTGATAGTGGTTGTTGTTGTTGATAATTGTTGGTGGTAGTAGTTGTTGGTGGTAGTGGTTGTTGTTGTTGGTAGTGGTCGTTGGTGGTAGTGGTCGTTGGTGGTAGTGATCGTTGGTGGTAGTGATCGTTGGTGGTAGTGGTCGTTGGTGGTAGTGGTCGTTGGTGGTATTGGTCGTTGGTGGTAGTGGTCGTTGGTGGTAGTGATCGTTGGTGGTAGTGGTCGTTGGTGGTAGTGATCGTTGTTGGTAGTGGTCGTTGGTGGTAGTGGTCGTTGGTGGTAGTGGTCGTTGGTGGTAGTGGTCATTTGCGTTAGTGGTTGTTGGTGGTGGTAGTGGTCGTTGGTGGTAGTGGTCGTTGCTGGTAGTGGTTGTTGTTGGTGGTAGTGGTCGTTGGTGGTAGTGGTCGTTGGTGGTAGTGGTTATTGGTGGTAGTGGTTGTTGGTGATAGTGGTTGTTGTTGTTGATAATTGTTAGTGATAGTAGTTGTTGCTGGTAGTGGTCGTTGTTGGTAGTGGTCGTTGGTGGTAGTGATCGTTGGTGATAGTGATCGATGGTGGTAGTGGTCGTTGGTGGTAGTGGTCGTTGGTGGTAGTGATCGTTGGTGGTAGTGGTCGTTGGTGGTAGTGGTCGTTGCTGGTAGTGGTCGTTGGTGGTAGTGATCGTTGGTGGTAGTGGTCGTTGGTGGTAGTGATCGTTGGTGGTAGTGGTCATTGGTGGTAGTGGTTGTTGGTGGTGGTAGTGGTCGTTGGTGGTAGTGGTCGTTGCTGGTAGTGGTTGTTGTTGGTGGTAGTGGTTGTTGGTGGTAGTGGTCGTTTTTGGTAGTGGTCGTTGGTGTTGATGATTGTTGGTGGTAGTGGTTGTTGTTGTTGGTAGTGGTCGTTGTTGGTAGTGGTCGTTGTTGTTGATGATTGTTGGTGGTAGTGGATGTTGGTGGTAGTGGTTGTTGGTGGTGGTAGTGGTCGTTGGTGGTAGTTGTCGTTGTTGGTAGTGGTCGTTGTTGTTGATGATTGTTGGCGGTAGTAGTTGTTGGTGATAGTGGTTGTTGTTGGTGGTAGTGGTCGTTCTTGGTAGTGGTCGTTGTTGTTGATGATTGTTGGTGGTAGTGGTTGTTGTTGGTGGTAGTGGTCATTGGTGGTAGTGGTCGTTGTTGTTGATGATTGTTGGTGGTAGTAGTTGTTGGTGGTTGTGGTTGTTGGTGGTAGTGATCGTTGGTGGTAGTGGTTGTTGGTGGTGGTAGTGGTCGTTGCTGGTAGTGGTTGTTGTTGGTGGTATTGGTCGTTGGTTGCAGTGGTTGTTGGTGGTAGTGGTCGTTTTTGGTAGTGGTCGTTGGTGGTAGTGGTCGTTGCTGGTAGTTGTTGTTGGTGGTAGTGGTCGTTGGTGGTAGTGGTCGTTGGTGGTAGTGGTTGTTGGTGGTAGTGGTTGTTGGTGATAGTGGTTGTTGTTGTTGATAATTGTTGGTGGTAGTGGTCGATGGTGGTAGTAGTTGTTGGTGGTAGTGGTTGTTGTTGGTGGTAGTGGTTGTTGTTGGTGGTAGTGGTCGTTGGTGGTAGTGATCGTTGGTGGTAGTGATCGTTGGTGGTAGTGGTCGTTGGTGGTAGTGGTCGTTGGTGGTAGTGATCGTTGGTGGTAGTGATCGTTGGTGGTAGTGGTCGTTGGTTGTAGTGGTCGTTGGTGGTAGTGGTCGTTGGTGGTAGTGATCGTTGGTGGTAGTGGTCGTTGGTGGTAGTGATCGTTGGTGGTAGTGGTCGTTGGTGGTAGTGGTCGTTGGTGGTAGTGATCGTTGGTGGTAGTGGTCATTGGTGGTTGTGGTTGTTGGTGGTGGTAGTGGTCGTTGGTTGTAGTGGTCGTTGCTGGTAGTGGTCGTTTTTGGTAGTGGTCGTTGTTGTTGATGATTGTTGGTGGCAGTAGTTGTTGGTGGTAGTGGTTGTTGTTGTTGGTAGTGGTCGTTGTTGGTAGTGGTCGTTGTTGGTAGTGGTCGTTGTTGGTAGTGGTCGTTGTTGGTAGTGGTCGTTGTTGTTGATGATTGTTGGTGGTAGTGGTTGTTGGTGGTAGTGGTTGTTGGTGGTGGTAGTGGTCGTTGGTGGTAGTTGTCGTTGTTGGTAGTGGTCGTTGTTGTTGATGATTGTTGGCGGTAGTAGTTGTTGGTGATAGTGGTTGTTGTTGGTGGTAGTGGTCGTTCTTGGTAGTGGTCGTTGTTGTTGATGATTGTTGGTGGTAGTGGTTGTTGTTGGTGGTAGTGGTCGTTGGTAGTAGTGGTCGTTGTTGTTGATTATTGTTGGTGGTAGTAGTTGTTGGTGGTTGTGGTTGTTGGTGGTAGTGATCGTTGGTGGTAGTGGTTGTTGGTGGTGGTAGTGGTCGTTGCTGGTATTGGTTGTTGTTGGTGGTAGTGGTCGTTGGTTGTAGTGGTCGTTGGTGGTAGTGGTTGTTGGTGGTAGTGGTCGTTTTTGGTAGTGGTCGTTTTTGGTAGTGGTCGTTGTTGTTGATGATTGTTGGTGGTAGTAGTTGTTGGTGGTAGTAGTTGTTGGTGGTAGTGGTTGTTGTTGGTGGTAGTGGTCGTTGTTGTTGATGATTGTTGGTGGTAGTGGTTGTTGTTGGTGGTAGTGGTCGTTATTGTTGATGATTGTTGGTGGTAGTGGTTGTTGTTGGTGGTAGTGGTTGTTGTTGGTGGTAGTGGTCGTTGTTGTTGGTGATTGTTGGTGGTAGTGGTTGTTGGTGGTAGTGGTCGTTGTTGTTGATGATTGTTGGTGGTAGTTGTTGGTGGTATTGGTTGTTGTTGGTAGTCGTTGTTGTTGATCATTGTTGGTGGTAGTGGTTGTTGGTGGTAGTGGTTGTTGGTGGTGTCACGTGGGGGTGGGCGGTCCGGGGCTCTGCTAACACTTAACTGCTAGGGGCTCAAAGGGCCCAAATACTCAGCCCCTCCGACTCCCTGGATTCACCGGAGTCTCCTTGGTCACACAAGATAGGACCAACGATGCCCACCTCCGCAGGTCTTTGCTTCCACCACAAAGGGGTGCCACTGATTCACCCTGGAAGCCCTTCAGTCAACCACGGGGAAACTGCTGTTAACAGTTCCGGCCTAGACCCGTGGGGGAGTGAAGGAAGACTCAGGCT